CCCCCTCCCCCATCTAACCCAGGCCCCCCCCATGCTCACCCAGCCTTCAACACCCTGCTGAGAATCACCTCCTCCTGAATGCTGCCTCTGACTTCCCTTAGTGGCTCTTACTATCCGCGTAGGCAACTTCATAATTGAACGTCTTCAAGTTACAACAGTTCTTCTAGTTGTGATAACTTGTACTGCTTCTCACTTCTTTAGATTTTCATATATTTGCACATGGCTAGGCTCTAGGCGCCCCCAGGATGAGAATCTTTGCCTTCCCTGTGTGGTCCATAATACCTAGCGTACATTAAAACTAATATGTAAGCTCTGGGGATGCTGGAAGTGTTTGTCAATTGCTTTTCACTATTACATACAAAAAGAACTGAGCATGTGGTAGATGCATAAGAAATATTTATTAAATAAATAACATGTTCAGTAAACGTTCTGTGGCTTGATTTTAGGTGATTTAAGTTTGCTGTGTCCTCCAAATTTGCTGTGAGATCAAAGGAGGCTGGAGGTGTTGATTCATTCCCCAGCACTGTAGCGTAATAATGAGAGATTATTATAATGAAAAAGAAAACAACTGCCATTTGCAGCCAAAATCTGCCCATCAGGTCTTGAGTCTTTCTTTTAAAAGACTTTTGTTTCCCTGCAGATATTAATGAATGCCAGCTACAAGGTGTATGCCCTAATGGTGAGTGTTTGAATACCATGGGCAGCTATAGATGTACCTGCAAAATGGGATTTGGGCCGGACCCTACCTTTTCAAGTTGTGTTCGTAAGTAATGATTACTTTTTGTTTCTATTTTATATCACTTGTCTTTGGGGTTTATCCAAAAGAATGGAAATACTCAGTGAGTCAACTGAATATTATAGCTATTTATGAAAATCCCATTAATTAAAACAAAGAGAGCAGCAAACCGGTCTAAAACAGAAAAATAAACCTATGGTATGGAAGCTTCTCAGAAGTGCATTTTAATTGCATTCAGAAAAATATAATAAGCCAAAACTCACAATGGTGAATTGAGGAAACAGACTCTGGTGAAAAGAAAGGTTAAATAAATGAGCATATCAACCATTTGTGAGATAGAAACTTGAGAGATAGAAACAGGTTTTCCCCTCATAAATATTTAAGTCTTTTTTAGGCTGAATTAAAGTTTGTCTCAGCTCCTGTCTTTAATTGTTCCAAATTCCAAGTCACTGCAATCTGATTTTATGAGATTTCCCTCTACTTTGCAAGTTGGAAAAGTATGGAAAATAGTGACCAGTGCCTTGAATTTCAGATATTCAAGTTTAATTCTAATTTCACTTATTCTCTCCCATTGTTCTCCAAAACCACCAAAGTGCCTCCAAAGTTATATTGTCTTATTTTACAGATGTCTCTGAGGTTTTCTCTTTCCTACGGTAAGGGTAAAAATCCCCCATTAAGCCACATGTTCTAGTATTGGTTCTGAAAATATAATTTCATTGAAGAAACAAGCTGAAGAAAACTGGTCCAGTGTCATAACTTACAGATCATATACCAGTTAGACCTGGATGCATTTTAACTAAAAAGTCCTCCACTACAGAATTTTGAGATTGCCATGCCCATTATTACAAAAGTAGGTAAACATTCAGATTTCTAAAAGGTGTATACTGTTGAAATTCAAAACTTTTAAGAGCATCATAGGATAATTTTAAGAGTAATTCTGTATGTGTTTCAATCTTGCTAGATTATTATTTTTATTTATTTAATGTGGCTTCAGTTATATTCTAATCTGCTCCCTTCTTGTCCCTAGTTTTTAAATTGCCATTTGATCCTCATGAAGATCATTTTTAGCTAAGATTCTCTCTCTTGATTCTGCCCCTTAAGATGTGTGTAAAGACAAAATAAAAACAAATGTAGTAAATAATACTGACCGTCTCATTTATTGCTTTGTAGATGGGCTTTTTGAGTCTTTGGAATATTGTTACTAATCATTACTGTTTTCCTTTAAAAACTGTCAAATGCAGATTAGGAAATTTTGCACGTAAGTCTCTTTTTCCATGTTATTTTGCAGGCAGTTCTGATCATGAAGCAGGAGGATACCTAATTATTTGGCTTTTTAAAGGGGGAGGTGGTAAAATTAGACTGTAAAATTAAGTTTGCAGACTTGAAAAATGATGTTAGAACGTGGAAGGGAAAATGCGGGCCAAAAATCACATTGTTGACAAGATCCATATAATTTAGAGATATTTTTAGCTAATTTGAATTATATAAGTATTCTAAGCAGTTTTCTTTTTTAAGCATAAAAAGATTTTGAAGAATTTGGATATAAAATTTTTCAGTGTTTTCTTTTCCTCTTGCATAATTTATCTTGTAGCCTGGGTATAATTTTTACATTGAAAGTTGCAGATTAGGTAAATTTGGGGAACTCTTTACAAGACTTTGACTAGATCTGATGTCTAGAGTTAAAGGCAGATGTCCAGGTTTTAATAAGATTGCAGAAACCTGCCAGTGAGAATTTTAGAACACTTGCACATTTCCTTAGCATTTACTTTCCCCATCATTACCCAAATAATTCTAAACTTATTAATCAACCATCCTTTCTTTTTTGAAAAATAAATAATTTAATTTTATGGTTCATTGGCAGCAGTTGAAATGATAAAGTGTTAAGAGCTGTTGTTGCTAGTTAAATGTTCCAGTGTAGAGTTTGCAGTTAAAGTCTGGATCCTTTTGCAGTATTGAGTTGGTAGCTGCATTTCTCCTTCCTCTGAATTTACCACATATAATATCACAACAATATGTAAAGATCCATCAGGAGTTGTGATTTGGATCATTCCAGCCTTTCTTTTTGGTGAACTCTGTGAAGAAATTGATAGGGAACTCAGAAGACATTTGGGAAGAAGGTCATGTTCACAGAGTAAGAGGAAACCTTGGAAAGATGGTAGTGTCTTTGATAGTCGTGGGAAATAGCAGATTGGGACACACACGCATGCACCCCCCCACACACTCACACTGAACAGACTTGTTGCTTGTGCTTTGTACTGCTTGTTGTTGAGAGGTGTAAAACTAGTCAGAGACGGAGCCCGCACACCAGTGGTAGAGATGGGCAGCAGTTGCTCAGGCAGTAGGAAATGAGGGCATTTCCAGGCCACAGAAGGTGTGGCTCACTCTGACCTCTCAGAAATGCACTTGGAAATAGCCCAGGAGCCACAGGAAACTCTCCCTATTCCTGAAGGCACTGGGCCCAACACCCTCAGAAATTCCTGGCGTCAGCCAAAGCTGCTGCAGTGTCACTGTCTCCTTGCCCTCTCTGTCCTTGACTTCACCAAGCCCAGAGGAGGAGAGTAGAAGGATGCTGGTGTCTACTGCCTCCTAACACTGTTTCTGTGGCTTAGGATGCTGTCTATTCCTTGTCAAACCTGCCTCTGCCTGTCTTTTTGGGAAAAGTGAAAATTTTAGGCCTCATCAGAGCAAGTTCAAGAAAAGTAGAGTAACTTCAAACTCATCAGAACAGTGTTCCTTGTTCCTTTACCTGCATCCTAACACAGGTTCCCTTAGAAATGTTAAACTGGAAAGGAGACTGATGAGGGAATATGGAATTTAATTAAGAAATGAATCTTTCACCATGCACTAAAATCCAAGTGGATTAAAGATCTAAATATTAAAACAGAAACACTAAACTTGCTGGAAGATAAGTTAGGCAGAACTCTTGAAGACAATGGCATAGGAAAAGACTTTATAAAGAAATCCTCAGTAACACGGGAACTAGAAAGAATCAACAACTGGGATCTCATCTTATTAAAAAGCTTCTGCACTGCAAAAGAAACCATCAACAGAACTAAGAGACAATCTACAATGTGAGGAAAAATGTTTACCAGCTGCTCCTCAGACAAAGGACTATTACCTAGAATATATAAAGAACTCAAAATAATCAGCCCTCCCAAATATAAAGACCCTATTCAAAAATGGGCATCTGAAATGAACAGACATTTCTCAGACAAAGAAGTAAAAACAGCAAGTGAATATATGAAAAAATGTCCCACATCACTGGTCATTCGAGAGATGCAGATGAAAACAACACTGAGATTCCACCTCACCCCACAAAGAATGGCTGCTATCAAGAAAGCAACCAATAACAAATGTTGGCGGGATGGTGGGGAGAAAGGAACCCTTCTCCATTGTTGGTGGGAGTGCAGACTGGTGCAACCACTGTGGAAGTCAATATGGAGACACCTCAAAGAGCTGGGATTAGAGGTTACATTTGACTCAGCCATCCCTCTGCTGGGTATCTTTCCAAAAAATTAAAAGAATCATATCAAAGTGATGTACGCATACCCATGTTTATAGCAGCACAGTTTGTAGTAGCTAAAACTGGAAACAGCCCATTTGCACATCAGTTGGAGACTGGATAAAGAAGATGTGGTTTTTCTATAAAATGGAATACTACTCAGCCATAAAGAATGAGAAATTAGAGTCATGCATAGGAAAATGGATACATGTTGAGGGTATACTCCTAAGTGAAATAAATAAGTCACACATGTATAAATACCAAATAGTTTCTCTGGTATGAAAAACTATAATGGTACATAAGATACTAATGATATAATTGACAGTGTGAAATAGGAAGAAAGGGGCTAAAGGTATAGGGGAAATGGGAAGGGTAAGAGAAAGGTAATAAGGGAAAAGAAAAAAAATGAGAAAATTAAAAAATGGAAATAAAGTGTTTGTAAATAGGGAAGGGAGGAGTGGGTGAAGGGAGGCCCGGGATAAGGGGAAAAAATGAGAACCAAGACCTGTCATGTAAAGGTACAAGAGCCCAATGATGAATGTAACTATTGTATTCCTAAAATGTACCAATAAACTCAGTGAGAAAAAAAAAGTGAGTGAGTATTGAAGAGAGAAGGGAAGTGATAAAAAGCTGGTAGGAATAGCCAGACCCTTGCTGTTTCTGAAGTCCTCTGTCGTTTTCAGATCCTTAAAGTACCAAATTTATATCTTTGTAGTGATGTTTATCATTCACATTTTAATACTTCAGAGTGGCATGGCTTTGAAAGTAAAACGAGACTATTGTACAGCCCCAATAATTAGGGCTGTCGTTAGGTATATGTTTCTTCCCTGTTTTGGGAAGTGGTAGGGCTGGGATTAAATCTATAGTCTCGTGCATGCCAAGCATGTTCTTTACCACTGAGCTACCACCCCAGCTGTACGTACAGCTTTCTTAATACACCACTAAAGAACCCACACAGAAGAGCTATATAGCATCTTACCTTTCTGTTCTGTTTTGTGATTGAACGGCAGCCAGCATTGGAGGTTTAATACTGTGCTTGGGTACAGAGCTATATGTACTGTGTATGTTTACTACTCTTTTGAAGATTTATCTCTAGCCAAGAGCAAACTATTTTCCTGTCATGTGGCATTTCTGGAAGGTTTTGTGCATCCAGATATTTTCCCCTTGAATTACTATATGAATCTTTTATCCTAATTTTGGCAACACAGCCTACTGAAAATATAGCCTGACAAAGCCTTATTCCAGTGCACATACTAATGGGAACCTACACACACCCTTTGTTATTGCTTCTCAGTCCTGTTCCACCCAGGTCCATTTCCACCTATTCTTCAGAAATCTTTTGGCAATTCTGATTAAAAAAAAAAAAAAGAAGAAGAAGAACATAAAAGCTGCTGACTGCGGAGTGTGTAATTATGTGTACTATATTTGATCATAAATATAGTTGATTAATGAATTGTCCTTTAAAATTAACTTCCAAAACCGAGGTTAAGGACACTCAGACAAAGCAAAAAAAAGCAATTTTGTGTGTTTTGGATTGCAGGTTCTGGGGTTTATGTGTCAAACTGACTAAAATGTGACACTGCTTCACACGTTTTAATAAATAAACGGGATTTGCCTTTGCAGGTCGCTTGAAACAAAAGCGTGAGCAAAGGTAATTTAGGTGTCACCCTGTTAAAGCTGGAGCCCTAGTTTAAGGCTTTTTGGTCCATGTAGTTGTAGATATAAGAAAATGTGAATCATTTCTTTTCAAGAGTTTTCTTTTTTCCCATATCCATATTTGAAGGAACGGATTTAGTATCAGTTACTTTTTCTTCTGTGTATGCAGGGGTAGGTCAAAATGTTTAGTTAGAACGTGGACTGACACTGCCTGACTGACCAACAGTCTTATTGATGACCCTAGAAGCCAGTGATTCCACCCCCCCAAAGACCTGAACTGGAGCTGCTGTAAAAGCTATCATGGGGAAAAAATACTACAACCCTAGAATGCCAAGAAATTAACAGAAAATATTTGGTTAGGAAGTGATGGAAGGAGAAAATTCTATAAGACCAACATGTCTTAGGATAAATGCTTAGAGAGAATTAGCTCACTTGCTTACACCTTTATACCCCTGAAGTTTTACACTTTTCTTTGCACAGTGCATGAGATTTCATTAACCAGAGACTTTAAATAATGTCATAGCACACATGCATATCCGTTAAACACTATAACTCGGGCTGGGAATTTAGCTCAGTGATTCTGCTGCCTGCCTTGCAAGCACAAGGACCCAAGTTTGATCCCTGGTACCAAAAAAAACAAAACAAAACAAAAACCAACAAAAAACCGCTATAACTCATTTAAAATTTGGGCTCAATTTAGGGCAGACTTGGCAATTCACATTAGAACTGAGTATGTGGGTAGGGGGATAGGGTAAGTATAATAGGCGTGGTGCCTGTGATAGTATCAGGTACCCTGGACAAATATGAGTAGGGTGGAAGTGGTTGTAGGAAATTTAAATGGGTGGAAGTCAGTATCTATTTGCCCATGTTGAGGATTTGAGAAAACTGCTCTGAAAAGCTTTGTTGTCATTGGGACATTAAACTAACGCTAATGTGATTCGTTTTATAAGTAAGACCCACCATGTATAAGAGAGGCTTTCATGAGATTGTCTGACATTGTTTCTGTAGATATAAATATTGTAAGGTCCAAATAGTCAATTTGAGGACAAAACTTTGGAGCAAAATCCTTTGGAGTTATCCCATAACTCTGCCTATATTGTTAAGATTATATAATCTCCAGATATACACACACTCATACACATTATGACTGATGTTTATTCCCGGGATTTACTCTCTTTCTAGGCTAATAACCATGCTCTTAAGCTTTCATTTATTTTCGGTCTATGACCCTTGATCTTTTGTAGCTTAAAAGTAAAAATGAAAGAAAAAAAAGTAAGTTCTCCTGGGCCATATTTCTAGCAAGCAGACCTTTGTCCTTTCCCACGTACTACAGCACTGTAATTGAATCAGATAATTTCTTTGAACATCTAGCTGAGACATCAGTCCTAGTAGAAGAATTAGGTCTAAGCACAAAGGGACAGAAGATTAGGTGATTTGTAAGCACCAAGTGCTAGAGGACTTGGTCAAGGGAAAGACAAATTGGGAATTCCCCGTTTGGACAGGGATTTGATAGAGAAAAGCTTTGATTGGGGTGGAAAACGGACAGAGGGAATGCCACACTTGATCACATTAGGCAGTTTTAAGTTGTCCAGTAGACCATATTCCTTTCACATGTGCATTAGAAGAGAAACTTCTTGAAGCCAGGGTTTTTTCTTACTTCTCCTCATGTTTGCCCTGGATTCCTGGTAGACAGTCGGACTGTGTGATTGATGAACTCTTATCCACTAAATGTAGAGTGGAAGATGAGGATGAGGGTGTAGGAACTGTGTGATAGTAGCCCAGTGTGCTTTCAGTGTTTTCCAAGGAATCGATCATATCATCTGCTCCTTCTTTGCCGTACTGTGTAGCTAGAATGGGTCCTTGTGTGGCCCTGCAAGTCAGAAGCCACTTTCTATCCCCTGTTCATGTTCCCTGGCCTAAGGTGAGCCATCTCTTAGGGTCCTGCCAGCTCTCATGGTGCTCAGAGTGCGCGGGGCAGCTGCTGGTTTGCAGTACCAGCTGTGCTCTTGATTATCCAGGGTGCACGGTCAGTCCCCAAGCAGTACCCTGGAACTGCCTCTCACTGCCTACCGCGAATCTCAGTCATAATCTTGGCTGTAGATGACTAGATTGATTTTGGGTCGGGCAGGATTTGATTGAAATTGTTTCTTTTCCCGTGTGCACACATTCCTGACTTAAGGCTTGCCTAAAAGGGAGAACAGGCCCAATGAGAAATGGGGACAATCACCGTCATGACATTGACTTTAAACTCATTTGGTAAATGGACTCATAACTAAGAAAGGTGATGCCCTAAACCTAGATGGAGTCTTTGTGAAGTACGGTCTCTCGTACACCTTAGGGCTTGTTTTGCTGTGACTTGAAATGCCGATCTGGTTTTTGTTTTTCGCATGACGTCAGGCTTTGTCTCTCTGCTTTAGCGGAGCCCCCTGTGATCGCAGAAGAGAAGGGGCCCTGTTACCGGCTTGTCAGTTCCGGCAGGCAATGTCTGCACCCTCTGTCTGTGCACCTCACCAAGCAGCTCTGCTGTTGTAGTGTGGGCAAGGCCTGGGGTCCACATTGTGAGAAATGTCCGCTCCCAGGCACAGGTAAGACATGGCCAGGTGTACACACACCAACATTCCCAGCCACACAAGTAGGCAGGATGACTTTGGCAGCTTGGGTAATTTTTTACTTTAAATTTAGTTTTTAAGAGTTCTGTGTGTTTTTATCACTTTTATAGAAACCATAGACATACGAGGTTAAATCAGTGGAAAAAATTACCCGCTGAGAGGTTTTCCTACCTTTTTTTTTTCTGGGTAATATTAGACTTCTGTATATTAAGAAAAGCCATTACATTTTACTCTCACTTTCTAAGAGTCTAAGTCTAATATTTAAGTATGAAGACTGAAGGTTCTGTAGCACCATGTGCCTTCCTACTGATTGGCTGCTCATGTTTTGATAAGTGGACCTTTGGGTTGACTGACTCACTCAGTGATTGAACATTGCGCTTAATTTCTTTAATTGGAAATAGAGGGAATTGCATCCATGGTTGGATTATGCTCTGAAGCTTAAGAGCTCCGGAGCAGGTCCAGCCAAAACTCCTATGAGCTTTCAGGGGAGCTCAATATTAAGAAATAGATTCTTCTTTATTTTTGAATTTAGTACGGAATTGCTTAATGCCTGGAGGAGTAAATCATCTTGAGTATCTGACTTCTACATAAGAGTCAAATATTTCTGAAGCTGGACACTGTAGAGTTAAATGGAAGAAAACGAAATATAACTTGGAAACATTGGGCATAAAATAGCCTACTAAATTATGTATTTGATAAGTTGGTTCCCACCTAGAAGAGTGCATTAAATCTCACAGGGCCACGTGTGTCTTTAAGCTGCAACTCCTATGCTAGACAAGATTTAGATATATATTTAGGTATCATTATTCACCTTTGTTGATGGTTAGAATAAAGAATATCAACTAAAGCAAAAGATACCACAAAGGATAGTTAACTAATAGACTAGATAATTTTACATCCTTTCAACAGGCTGTATTACCTTCCTGTTTCATCTAACACGCTCATTGTTTTAAAGTAGCAAGCAAAAAGTTTTATAATCCACTAATCCGTTTCTCTTTAAGTTCAGTTTTGGTATCTCAGCAACCCTTATATGAAACATTAATCAAGATGGTGAATGTAACTCAGGGATACCTGTACTCCATAGTGCAATAACTAAATTTGAAAATAATATTAAAGATAAATTTCCACTTAACTAAATTTTGAATATATGGTGATTTTAAAAAGTAGTTCATTAATACTTGAAAATTTGATAGAAAAACATTTTCTTCTGAAAACCATTTTCAAGTAAGAATTCCATTTTCTAGTTAAACCTAAGAATGAGGTTAGAAAAACAATATTGTATCATGCTTTAAAAGGAGTATTTTAGAGTTCCCTTTTATTGAGAATTCATGTTAGATCCAGAACCTTCCATAGAAGAACTCTTGTTCACTGGAAGTGAGAAATGACTTATTTTACTTTCAATTTTAAAAGTAGAAATAAAAAAAGAAGCCATAAGCTCCTCAGTGTCTGCATTTGGTAATTTGTCTCCAACACCAACAGCAAGGGGATTAGGTGGATTTTTCCTCCTTAGGCCGCACATGGCCCCGTCTTTCCCTTCACTTATTCGTGGGGGTTATGCAGTGGAGGTTAGCAGATCACACATGCCAAGTCGACTTTTCTAAGGAGTACACACCATTTTTTTTAAGTGGGTCCAGAGCCCAGAGTGCCGCCTAGTTCTCTGTGTAATTAAGTCAGCTGCTCCTGGCTAGGCGTTTGCCCAGTTGTCAGCCCTTTGCTTGAAAAGAATGGCAGTCTAGTCTGGCATTTCCTCTCTGCCTCGATTTCTGTTTGTCATCTCTTTATCATGTCTCACTTCCTGGTGTTTCTTCTCGCTGGCCTGAGAAGCTCTCTTCTGAAACACGTCCTGTTTCAGTCCCTCATCAGCACCCACCCCGCAGAGCCCTCCACTTTGCTGAGCCCTGTGGGGCAAATCATGAGTTTTTCATCACCTCATTGCCCTGCACACTACTTCCCTCTCTGTCTTTGCCTTCTTGTTCATTATCTAACTCAACAAGGTGTCACTGAGTGCTTATTTAATAACTAGTGAAATTATACCAAAGCGAGAGAAAAGAAGCCTGCTTTTTGCCAGTATTGCACATATATATATAACATGAGTTAAACAGTATAAAATGTCTTTTATATGTAAATGTCTCCTAGAATTGCATATATTTTGTATGTGATATTACATATATAATATGACATAAATAATATCTCCTAACTGGCTGCTGATATATATGTATATATAAATACATGCTAAATATATGCTGGTGATAAATGTATAAAAATTATATATATCCTGATTGGGTAGTTTAAGGAGCTAACAGGTAGATAAATGTTTATTTAAAGAAAAACTGAATTTTTTCTTGTAAATATGCAATTCTGTCAGAAATTTAAGCAATTTGCATACATTTTGCATCTGTTTTTGAAGTTTTTCAATGTACCTATATCAGTGATTTATTAAGAGATATTCATCATGATATTTTCCTCTGTATAAGTTTGCACTGTTAGAATTTTAAAAGGAATATTTTCCCATCCCAAATCTAGCTGCTTTTAAGGAAATCTGTCCTGGTGGAATGGGTTATACGGTTTCTGGCGTTCATAGACGCAGGCCAATCCATCACCATGTAGGTAAAGGACCTGTATTTGTCAAGCCAAAGAACACTCAGCCTGTTGCTAAAAGTACTCACCCTCCACCTCTCCCAGCCAAGGAAGAGCCAGTGGAGGCCCTGACCTTCTCCCGGGAGCACGGGCCAGGAGCAGCGCAGGCGGAAGGTGCGTGGGGGTCAGCGGTGCGCTCTCGCCGTGTGTCTGTGTGTCTGTCCGTCTGTGTGTCTGTCCTTGGTGTCTCAGTGTATACCCAAGCAGAACAGGATTTCTTAGCCTCAACGCTAAGGGCATTTTAAGATGGATACTTCCTTAACAGGTGGGAGAGCTGCCCTGTGTATTGTAGGCCTCTCTGGCGGCATCTCTGGCCTCTGATGTCTAGATGCCGACCCACCCCCTCCCCTTACCCTACAGCTGTCACAACCCCAAAAGGTATGTGAACCTTGCAGATGTTCCCAGGTGAGGGATGCAGATTTACCCTTGATTGAGAATCACTGCTGTCGAACAATGTGCACCTAGTCAGGCAACACATTCTATGGTAATTGGAAAATATTGTCTTTTTCGTTATTGCTTACGCTAAAGCTTATTCCTGGAGACTGATATAGCTTCTTTACAAGTACAGGTCTAATTCTAATTTCTGTGTGTAGGGAGCCCTTTGGTAAATATTTATTTTCAAAGTGGAGTCCGCAGGTTTAAAAGTGAAAGTTTCTGCTGGGCTTCCATGAAAGTGTAATAGTCAGAGATACAGGAGGGTGAAATGCAGGAAAGTAGGAGACGGTTGATTGAAGGGATCTGAGAGACCACCCAGTACGGTCATTTGCCGTCCAAGAAACCTGAGACCCCAAGAGGGTGTGTGACTTGTCAGGTGTCACAGAGTAGCAGTGCTGTGACCAGGGAGCACGTCGTTCTGGTTAAGGCCCTCTGCTCGAGGTGGGTGACCTCCACGGTCTCTCTGGTGCGCAGGAAAAGGGATATTCTCATTCTCACTGGTTCCTGTTCGTTTTCTCTCCCTCCCCTTCCTCCTCCCC